AGTTAATAGCCACAGAAAAAAGCATTATTCAAGTTTACTGAAATTAAAATTTTTCTAAATTAAAAAAGAATAAAAAATGTATAATAATATACCTAATATACCTATTGTAAACTTACTTTACATTTATACTAAAGAAACTAGAAAAAATGAATATTTAAAATGTTCTGAGATTTGTATTGACTTTCATTGTGTAATTTCGTTTTTATTTTTATCATCTCATTGATTACCCACGTAGTTTTTCAATCTATTTTTAAATATATACCAGTATTTATATTTCAGTGGTCTTCTTGTACCATTTATATCATTTTTTCCGTCTTAACCTACTTAATTACAGATTAATCTGTTTTTTAAAATCAATTATTCGTTGATTGCAGTAGGTTTATTGTAAAACTCGTCAGTCAATTGCGTTTTACAAGATTATATACATACATTTTCGAGATAACATATCCCAAATTCCGTAACTTCTACTTGCCATACCATAAAACGCAATATAGCGAACGATCATATTCGTTTATTGGTAAGCCGACAGGTACTTGTATTAGACAAAAAATTTAATAAACACATAGTTACCTACTAACTAATAATTTAAAAACTAGTTTTTTGACGGCAATCGATTGACATTAAATTCTCGACCGTGGATTACCATTTTAAACTATTTTTACTCATAATAATACAATTTAGGGTTCATCGATAGAAAACTCATTTATTGGAAAAATAATTTTTTTTTTAATCATCATCTTTTTAACCTCAAAGGGAACCAAAATATCGTTAACTTGGGTCATCCGTTGCATTTCATTAATGTGATTTTATAATTAGAACTCAATAATAAATATTATAGTTATCAGTGTAATCATAATAATTTTCTAATTCAAGCAAAAAATACATTCAAAAAACCCTAGAGCTTTTTGTTCCACACACTGGTCACAGCTTTTATGTGGATCTCGGAGATATGATGATATCATCAATCGTCCATATCAACTGCTACGACATTTTTGGATTAGTTTAATAAAATTCTATACACTCACCAGTACACTATTAATTGTTCTGCTTAAAGATGGAAAATTTTTCTTAAGTGTATTAATTTCGAATAAATTAATATGAACATTATGAACAGTAAAAATATTTAACATTATTTTAGACACTTGCAAATTTAAATTTATATTAAACTTCAAAATTATTTTCGTATTTATTTTTAATGTGAGCCTAACAAATATTAAGAACAGTGCTATATTTGTACCAAACAGCACTTTTCGTAGTTTGTAATGTATCCAATATTGATGCAATTAAAATGCATTAACTATCGTCAAATATACTTTGAGTTGATTTAGCTACATATAAAGTATATAGATATCACAAACAGAAAATATGTTTTTCGCTGCTCATTATTAATATGTCAATATAAGTAATATTTAACTAATTGTAGGTTTCATGACACTATTATAGGTGATTGTATTTTTTATATACAATATAATATTGTATATTTATAACACATTTAGGTATATTATACATGTATTTAATAACAGTGTTTATAGCAAGACAAATACTTGACTCGGTCAATTTTTACCATCAGGAATTTCGTAATATTTTATACCCTTAAAAGCTTTTGTTATTATTTAATGTAGTGATATATCTGCTACGCCATCTGTTTGTTCAAAATATAACCTACGCGACAAAGTTTTTTTTGTATCACATTATTGTGAAACCGTCACCATTGCAGTTTTATATTATTTTCAGTATTTCTATATTATAATAATACGTAGAAATTAAAGATTATCCGTATTTATTAAATTCAAAGAATAAAACAAAATTAGAAGGTCTGAAAATGGTTTCATCCGATTTAAAAAAATAATTTTTAGTACTTTTCTAAGAATTGTTGATGCTTTATTTTTTATTTATATTAAGTGTTTTTTTTTTTTTTTGTTAGTATTTTATAAAACAACAAAATCTCAACTCTATATGTAGTATAGTATGATAAGGTTACGTTAACAAAGAGATAATTCTTTGATAAATTTTTTTACGACAAAACGTCGCATGTATGTTAACAAGAATCAACGAGTAGTGAACGCTGGGTTACATAATATTAACATCTCAATTAATTTTCTAGTTAAACAAAAAAGGACAAGTACATGTTCAAATTCTGAATAATTAACACATTAAATGAAATAGAACAATATTAAAATAATAAATCAAGTGAAAATTCAACGGATTTCTATCTCTTTGGACCTTATTTCTTACAAATTCCACTAGCACTTTTTTTTTTCATTAAAATAACGTGAATTCTTGTGCGTTTTGTAATACTTTTTTTTCATTATTTCTTTTTAGACAATTCACAATCTGTAGACAATTTTTACAATAAGCGAATTTGATATTTACAAAACATAAAATTAAAATAACTTGAGTGACGTTTTGAGAAAGAAATTCATTGGTAACACCATTTTTATTAATTTAATAGGTTTCTACAACATTTATGCTTTAATCTGTGCAGTGGGTGCTTAGGGAGGGTGGCGGTGAACGTGTGAAATATTAAAGTATTTGTATGTGATTTTAAATTTTAGTGAAAGCTTTTATACATTATTTTAGTCAGTTCAGTAGTTGTACTTATTTTTAAGTCGTTGAGTAGAGAAAGGTTCGAAATGTACCAAGGGGCGTGAGTTAGTAACCTCAACGCAATTGATTGAAGTACCTGAATTGGCCTGATATTTGAAGGTTTGGCAGGACCCCAAATTGTGATTCCATAAGACCAGGTTGACTTATATATAAGTAATTTGTTTTGAAGTGGTATTTTGAAGTTGAGGAGAGGACGAAGGAGATGAATTCTGTTGTTAACTGATTTTATTTTTATTTTAAACAGGGGCCGTAAGTTAGTCTCTTATTTAGTATTATACCTAAGTATTTAATTTCAGTTTGGACAGGGAGGGATGTAATTCATGATTAATTGAGTACAATCTTGGGGAGATTTTTTTTAGTATGAAAGTGACTTGTAAAGATTTATCACTATTAATTTTAATTTTCTATTTGTTATACCTAACACAAATTTATGTTTCAATTTTTATCAGGCACCTAAATTTGATTTTAATTAAATTAAATTTTATAAATATTTAGAACTTAGAAAACTCCGCAGTGAGGCAATTATTCACTTTATCAATTTCTAATTAACTTCTATTTGTTTTTTATTGTGTCACTAAACAGGTTAATATAATATATCTGTGTATATCTCTTATCTAGATGAGTTAAGTAAAATACTATATTGTAGTGAATATTAATATCAGTGGAATTTAAATTTATTCCGTATATAAAAACCCGAAATCGTGTGTCAGCCAATTATAATATAATAGAGGCATTATAAATTTATTTTTTTATTGAATTATGTAATATGTATCTTTTATCTGACCTAAAACAAAACTTTTAATTATTATGCATATAAGATACCAAAGTATATTCACTCAACTTTTATACTTTATTGAATTCTGACTTTTGGAATTTAAAGTTAAATTATACTATATTAATTAGTTACCATATTTTCAAGTAAAGAAATTGTTTGAACTTCAACTTTCAAATGAAAGCCGCAATTTCTTACCGTCAATTACTAAGAAGAAGCATTTTCTTCAAAATTATAAAATTATACTTTATATTATATTAATCTATGAACATATAAAATGTTAGTGAAAGTTTTTCGATTACCCATAAGTCGTATGATGAGTACGAAAATCATTTAATTTCAAATCTATTTTCTACGCCGTGAAAAACTATAAACGACTACCTAAAATTAGTACATCAACATAATATTATTGTATACGTCCTTAATACGTCAAGTTTTAAAGATCACGAATTATTCGTTCAGACTTTTATCAATTGTACATAATATCAAAACGTTTTAAAAAATAATCTACTTGACAAATTAAAAAAAAAAAAAAAAAAGCAAGTAGTTCAGTCTTGAAAAGACGACATATTTTGTATGAGGAGCACAGTTAACTCGCGATAAATTAGGGAAAAAAACCGGTGAGTGGTATTTGAACCAGTGTATAATATAACGTGGTATAATTGTACTCGAAAATTCGGAAAAATTAGAATTCAAAGGAGCGCGTCATTGAAGGACTACACGGGTGAGCGAGCGCGTTCGCGGATAACAATAATTTAACCCCGCACGCGATCACAATAACAAAATATAATACGATATCGAGTCATTAATATGTATATATGGTGCAGTTAAAAAACGATCAAAAAAATAAAACAAAGAGTAGATACACTTCGTGCAGATACATCGGTACATATGTATACGTCTCGTTTCTGCTAAATACGGTTGAAAAAAGAATCGAAAAGGTTATTTTTATCGTCAAAACAATAATAATTACTATACGACGAACTATACCTATAATGTCACTGTCACTACTATATCACACGCCACCGCGACTCCGATAATGTTCGTATAATCGCTTATTTTCGGTAACCGGTCTCCCCTGCACCGGTCGACGCACACGCATTAGGTACACAAAACGCTCATGACGTCATGGTAACATTCTCCGTCGGGGGTCGGCAATGGGCGGCCCGCGAAGAAAAAATAATTGGACCACAAAAAATGTATTTTTTGATAATGCTGGTTTCCCACACGTAATATTATATATTTTATATCTGTCTTACGGTGTGTTTAGAGATTGCGATGGCGTTTATCGTTTGTTGCCATTTACAATAATAGTTGCGATAACGCGACAACAATAAAATTGTTAACTATAATAATATCTGAGTTTTTAGATTTTACTGGCCCTCGAAATTTTTTTTTTTTTTTTGATTTTCTGGACCCCCACGGAATTCAATTGCCCACCCCTGTTCTAGGTGTCGCACAGAAATCGACAGAACGACGATCCCCAGCCACATAAGACATAGCATTATTATCACACACGTCAAAAACATTAAAAACATCATTTCTGTTGCGCTGTACCGCGTGACGGACAATATTAATGACCGGTATGTGTTTGTTTTTGTTCTGTTGTGGCCGTCTCTAGGTACACGACGTACTTGAACCGGAGGAACGCTCTGCTGGCGATCGCCGGCGTCTGGGCGCTGGCCGCGTTCGTGTCGGTGGTGCCCATCTGCATACTGAGCATCCACCGGCCGCCCAAGCCGGTGGTGTTCCACGCGGGCGACACCGAGTACATGAGGTGCGCGCTGGACCTGACGCCCGAGTACGCCATCATATCGTCGTGCATCAGCTTCTACATACCGTGCGTGGTGATGATCGGCATCTACTGCCGGCTGTACCGGTACGCGCAGAAGCACGTGCAGAGCATCCGGGCGGTGACCCGGCCGCTGACCACCACCACGACCGCCACGGCCGCGGCGTCGTCGGCCACCACGCTGACGGCCGTGCACCACCACACGTCGCCGTACCACGTGAGCGACCACAAGGCCGCGATCACGGTGGGCGTGATCATGGGCACGTTCCTGCTGTGCTGGGTGCCGTTCTTCTGCGTGAACATCATCGCGGCGTTCTGCAAGACGTGCATACCCGAGGCCGCGTTCAAGGTGCTCACGTGGCTCGGCTACTCCAACTCGGCGTTCAACCCGATCATCTACTCGATATTCAACACCGAGTTCCGGGACGCGTTCCGCCGCATACTCACCACCCACTACCCGGACTGGTGCTTTTGCAAGGGCTACCGGACCGTGGTGCTCAGCTCGGACGCGTCGTTCCGGCACCGGCAACGCCGGAAGACCTGCACCGGCGGCGGCGGGTGCGATTTCGTGTCGTCCGCGTCCGCCACGGCCGTCGTCACCGCCGCCGCCGCCGCCGCGGTCAAGCACAACGGCAAGGCGGCAGCAGTGGCGGCACCGCTTCGTGTGGCGGCGGCGGCGCGGCGTCGGTGCGTGCGCGCCGCGTGGCGAGCGAGATCGTCGGTGGCGTCGCTCCATGATGCGTATCGTCCGTCGATCATCAGCCGTGAGCAGATTCGACCGCCCGCGGCGACCTGCCTCGTTCGCCGTCGAGCATCTCAGTCTGAATGCCCTCGTTGGTATAACGCGTACCAATAGTTTGTCAGACGACGACGATATAATATTGCCACTTATTATCGTTTGTAACGGCGCGCGATGTCTGTCGTTATTTTCGTCCGCACGCGCGCGTTGTGTCCGCTGCTCTAATATTAACTATTGTACATACCTGCACCGCGGTTACCGGTGCGGGACGGCGGCACCGCTGTTCGAACGTCTCGCCAGGTGCGCGTTTCGTCCGCGTCGTCGTCGAACTGCGGAACGACGGGCGTGCGGTGGCGTATCGCTCGCCGTCGCGCCCGCTGCAGTCGACGCTCCTCCGGCGAAAACGTACCCTGTAGGCCGGAAACCCGTGTGTCGCGCACGTGAACGTTTTGTTTCCGCGTTGAAGGTTTTGACCGTTTCGGATTTGCCGTTATTCGCTTTTTTACCCGCCGTCGTCGCCGGTACGTAAATACGTGTAGATCTAGTCGACGTTTTCGTTTTTCCTAGAACCGCACCGAAATAATGACGAAAAAAAAAATCACGAAAATCCTAATCCTCACTGCACGCGCATTTCCTGCCCGCGAATCAAACGCGACGCGTAATTAAACGTCCTTTATCGATTTTCCGTTCGTTCGTTCGAGCATCGTTATTGTAGTCCATCCCGCTCGGTTTACTCGCAAGTATTGTAATAACTACGACGTCATGACCGATGATCGTGTACACACGAGGCCTTCCCCCCCCCTCTCACCCTTTAAATCGCTGCAGAAATCACCTCTGCGCGCGATAAACGATCTAATAAAATCTGTTATTATATTATATTATATTTATTATTCATGGTTCGTTTCCTGCAGAAAAAAAACGAAATTCTCAGCGTGAATGTATTACGACTCAAGATTATTTATAACTTTTCACATGATTTCCAAACCAAGAGTTTAAATCCAAAAGTTACCGACATTAGTATTATAATACTAGGGACCGGATGTTGATCGTTTTTTTATTTGTATTTTGTTTGAAACAATTTTATAGTTAAAACTGTACCTATAAAAGTTTAAAATACTAAATTCTAATAAATTTTCATTCTACAATTGTTGTCATTCTAAGGCTGATTTTTTAATTATCTATGTACACGTCAATTTCCACTATTTCAACTGAAAGGAAGGTCACGAGTTAATGAAACGTTGTTCAAATATAATACCTCGTATAACTAAATAAAAAAAATGTCCTATAAAACCTTACCCGAGTAGAAGTATGTAAGTGTACAATAAACTCTTATTTCTCATATATGTGTAATATTAAACTTACTGACATTAAAAACAATACAGATTGTCACCGCTATTAGATATCATTAATTTAAATCGTAGTAATTACCTAATATTTCTTTTTATGGGTCTTTCCATGTTAACCCTAATACTCGTGATAATTTTTTCCGGACAAAATTCGGTTTTCAAATTTCAGTCAAAAAAAGTATGGAGTATTTTAATGTTTTAATATAATAATATTATTTTCTTTGTATACTTGTTAACTTAACTGTAATTATTAATTTAAAAATAAATAAACGATTAAAGTAATTTTAAAAATGTTAAGTGTATTTTTGTTAATTAATTAACTTTTTAAATTCATTTATTGTAATAGTTTTAGGGCTATTGACATCCGAACCCTAATTTTTACTATTGTCATACTAATAATATAATCGAAAATACCGTTATTTAACTACTAATTACTAGTACATATCTCAACGTAGTGTAATTAATTATTTGTTCAATATATCCACACGTCGGATATTACATTTACACCCAATTGATTGTTACGATTCCTGCACAAGAAAATAACATTTCATTCTATAATGGCTATAATGACTGATACAATGACTACTGTCGTTTTAGTCACGGCTGACTGGATATCTACATTTACGATAGGTACTTCCTGATATACTAATAAATAATATTGTTTACATATAATAACGTTTAAATTTCAATACACGAATTTATACCTAATTATCTACAGATTAAAATATACTGTATTATGTCAATAAATAATTTCAATGTATATTAATTACTAACATTTCGGTCATGGCGATTGTATCCAACGTTCTAAAATCCATATCCATCGGGTAAGTGAATGTCTTAAACGACCTGTACATTTTAAGGCATAAATAATAATATGTATTTTTTTTTTATTATTATTATTATTGTTTAATAATGTATTATATAAGTATATACTATGTGCCAAATTTTTTCTCGTATTTTACATTGTTAACATTTTGTATCATAACTATATTCCTGCAATGAGTAGTTCCTATTATAATCAAGATGTATGTGCTACTTTATATTTGCATCTTTTGTCATATTCCATAATTACCTTTTTAGTATTTGAGAGAACATTGATGACTCTCTTCTCCCGTTCATCAATTGTTTTAAAAATCGAAGTTTACAAGCGATCTTTTATAAGTGCATAACGAAAAATAAGTTAAATAATATTTTAACAATACAGACGATCGATTGGTCTTTTCGTATCATTACAAACTGCTCAATAAATTACGTAATCTAAAATCCCAACAGTAAAACATGTTAATAAAATAAAAAATAGATCTAAAAATTAAAAATTTTAAATCAAAACCTGTGATCTCTTAACGTTTTTGTTTCAAAAAAAAAAAAAAAAAAAAATACAAAGAATTCTTTCTATAGGCATATATAATAAACTATGATATATATAAATACTCTAAACGGAAAATGTTACCCATAAAAACGGCTTACGGTTGACGATTTAGTTTACGTACGCGTTAGTATAAAACTAAGCACCAAGTTATATTATTTTAGTATAAAAACAATAAAATGGTCCGAAAATAAAGTGAAGTAGAACAGCTAAAATCAAAAGATAAAATATTGCCCACCTTAACGAACTATATAATATTATACTATTGGACCGGCATGATGTAATGAACGAACGTTTACGCAACTTAGCGCTGTACACTCCAAAACGATGATGAGGTCCCAAAGTTACTTAAAATAATAGTGCTTGTAAGTACCCAGTATTAAACATTGTTATGTACGAATAGGTGTGTAAAATATAAAATTAAATTAGACAAGCGAAGTGCATATAAAATAATAATGTTATTTAAGCGTTGGGTAACTATATCCGCCTTAACTAGTTATTTATATGCGCATATAAAACTTTAAACACACATACTCGTATTGCTTTCGAACGAATGTATTTTCATAATCAGTTATATGTATATGCATTACATATACTGCAGTAGGAATCTTCAAATGTCATCCAATTCATCAGACAAAATTAGCCAAAGATGAATTTTCGGCGTACTACAGTAATATCGTATACCTTTTACCGTTTAATTAGTAACACCTACACCTTGATTTGAAATAGTAGGTAATGATATATGTTTTGGTTTAAAACGTTGTATTCTAAGGGAACAAACACATTTAAAATATCATTATTTTAAAAATAAAATCGATCTTGTTATAGGTAGGTATTCTAAACGTGGTTTGTAAAACAGTGGATTTGGTTATTAAACACACGTTTTTTAAGAGATTTTAATAAATAAGTATTTAAGAAAAATAAAAATTTTAAAAATTATTCAAAAATTTTCTCACTTCGATAACACTGTTAATGTTTAAGTAATAATGTTACAAGATCATAAAAAAAAAGTTTAAAAAACCACTTTGCGTTAGAAATAACCGAAAGATCTAAAATTATATTTATAACTTTTAAGAAACCGAATTTTCGCTATTAAAAGAAGGCAACTTTGTGCAATATTTTTTCAGTATTACGACGCATATTGTACAGATAAAGTAGTCTTCTTTTAGTTATGAAAATATGATATCTTTCATACTATTATAATTTATTGCCCACGTGAAACATTTTTTTAACACAGACAAATTAAGGACCTATAGCGTCTTCCTAATAGGTGCACCTGTATCGACTTACCTGTTAAAATTTAAAACCTAACACATAAGTATCATTTTTAGTTTAACCATGAGTTATTATCAGATTGTTTATAAAAAAATATTAAGTTTTTACATTGTTTAAAGATTCTATTCAATGTGATATGTAGGACCTATACCACAGCTATTATTATATTATATTGATTCTTGTACTAGTTGTACGTATTATTAAATTATTATATATTATTATTATATTGTATTGATAAAATATTATTTTAATTTTTATGTATACCTATTTTTATCATCAACATTTTAATGTTGTTGTTTTTGTTACTGTTTTAAATGCCCTCATAAAAATGTTCTTATTCTTACTATTATACATTTATAATATAATTTAATGTTGTAATATTAACCAACTTATACTTTTGGGTTGTGTTATTAAAATAAATCTCATACAAAACAATTAAATCTACAACTTTTTTTTGTTATTTGTTGGTTTTTTTTTTTTACAATGTAAGATCAAGTAACGAGGGAGATATTATTCTTATTTTTGTTTGCATTTTTTACAAAGATAATATTTAAATATGAAACTTAAATGAGTTAATATGTAAAAAATTAATTAAACACATTCTATACAAAAAAGCACATTTTCATCCAAAAATATTTTTAATTTTACTTAAAATATTAATGAGTTCAAAATTGCTTATTATTATTATGCATTTGAAAATATTGTAACCTTAATTTATTCCCTGACGTAATTTATTAATATATAAAATAAATTTAAAATAATATTAATTTAATACATTCATCACATTTATGATATAAGAATAATCCTGATGAGAACGAAAATACATTTTTGTCTGTCTAATATACAATATTATCAATATATTATCATAATATTATAGTCAATATTCATTGTTACCATTAAATTAGTAATAAGAAAACATAAAATGTAGATGTATTAATATATTGTTATGTTTAAGATATTAAATAATAATAATGAAAATAATGCAATAATTAACTGCGTGGACTATTTATTTAACTACCTATGTAATATACAAAAATATGTATTATTGCGTCTAATTTATAATACCTAAATGTTACGCAGTCAATTTCACTATTAATTTTATTATTTTAATTTGCATAAAAATATTAATT